GCGGAAGCTCGAAAGCGTAAGCCCCAAACCCTATCAATCCCAGATTCCCTCTAAATGGCGCATTCACAACATAACTTTACAAAAATGAATCTATTTTAAACTAGCTTCGAGTGATTCCCACTCCTCTCGCACGCTCTCTCACTCTATGCCGGCGGCGTTTTTTTTGTCAATTTAGTAATTGAGGCATTTTATTTGCGTTAAATTGGGACTTCCGTCCACTCAAGAGCCAGTGTCGAACCATGGCCAGTCATCAGACCCACGGGATCCAACAGCTGCTGGTGGCAGAGAAAAGGGCGGCCGAAAAAGTGGCCGAGGCCAGAAAACGTAAGTGTTCAAATTTAGATTTCGGAAAACACTTTGACCACAAATTATTAATGAGCATCTTCGGGGCCAACTCGTTTATAAATAAATACATGTGTGTTTATTTTGGTCGCGACCTGAAGATCCACTCAATTAAAGTGTGTCTCAACTAATGGCTTTTTAACACGCTTGGGAAAATGCCTGTGCGTTGAAACCATGAAACCTTATAGGCAAAGTGAAGAGGATCAAACAGGCTCGAGATGAGGCTCAGGCGGAGATTGAGGCCTATCGAAAGGAGCGCGAGCGGCAGTTTCGTGAGTACGAAGCGCGTCACATGGGGTCCAAAGAGGACGTCGCTTTGAAGATCGACAAGGACACCGAAGTCTACTTGAAGGAAATGGAAAAGCTTGTGGAAGACAACAAGGATAAAGTAAGCAAAACGTGCTTTTGAGGCCTTTAATAAAAAAAAAACATCTTTGCAGGTGATCGAAGAGCTAATCAGCCTCTGTGTCGACATTACACCCGTCGCCCATCCCAACTTCTTCATTATGAGGGATTTCAATAAAATTTGAGCTTCGTTGCTCATCTTTATTAGCCTAGTTTTAGCCCTATAACGCCAATAAACAACGCTTTTTTTTCTTAAAACCTCATTTTTCCCATTTCCACCGACTCAACTCAAGTTTCTTCCGCAGGCAAAGTGAGAAGACTGAAACAGGCCAATGAAGAGGCTCAGTTGGAGATCAACGCCTATCGCATAGCCCGCGAACAGGCCTACGAGCGTTTCGAAAAAGCGCATGCGGGCAACAAGGAGGACGTTTCGGCGCAAATAGACAAAGACATTGAAGAGTACATTCGAACTGTGGACAAAATGGTGCAGGAGAACAAGGAAAAAGTTCGTATCACATTGACGCCCTTCTAAGCCACTTCTACCAACGGTTTTTAGGTTACAGCCGAGCTGGTGGAGCTGGTATTTAATATCACTCCGGCTGTGCACCCGAACTTCTACGTGCTAAAGGCTTTTAATCAAATCTAAGAAAAATCTGGTTTTTGGAGAAATGTTGATGACTGTAAAGCTGCATTTTCCTCCTCAACAATAGAAGGTGATTCAAAATTCACTGTTGAGTTTGTTCGGAGACTTTTAGGGCGCACGCAAATACACAAAAACCGAGATCTTTTCAATTCGCGGCGCATCCGCCAGATCGTTCAGTTAACTTCGATGCGTAGTTAAAATTTTGACGCGATTTTATTCAAAACCCGGAAAACTACCACAAAGGCAAAAAGCTGCATGTACCGACCGCAAAAACGGCTCAAAACTACCGCAAAAAGAGCATTTAGGGGGCAATCACTAACTGCGGACGCCTGAATTCGCATCTTCCGCGAACAGTCCAACCATTTTCCTTCAAACTTCAACCAGTACAAAAATCACTTACCGGGACGTCGCCGACGTGCTTAAAAGCATGCTGAAGCCCCTGAATCACCTAAACTTCTCCCAATTTCAAATTACTTTACTACACTCAAAAATGCATTTGTCAGTTGCACCCTCAACTGACAGTCTTCATTTAATGACGGCGACCGATTCAAATTGTTCATCTGTCTTTGTCGCACCCATATAAAAACCGCTATGGACAGTGTAGCCAACACACAAACCAGCATATTTACAGGGCGTTGCAAATATATGCCACGCCCAGAAAACCTCAAGCAGTTATTCGAAGAGTTTTATTAGAGGTACAAAACCGGTCTTATATTACTAATGAACACACCGCGCGTAATCTTAACCTAAATTTTACATAAAAATCTTCTTCATCAGCAAATACATATGCTGATCGACTTCGAAACTGTGCAGATTGTTGGCGTCGCCCTGCAGCCGCATCAATAACCCACCAAACGACACGTATGCAGCTCTAGAAAAACAATAGAACGTTACTGAGTCAAACGCCCTCTGCACTGCCAAGCTACAAATTAGTTTTAGGGCTAGTAGTAGGACTGAACGATACACACGAGGGAAGTATGGATAGTGGTCGTGGTTGAATTTCACAACCAGCTAACCACACTGCCACCGTGTACATCGAAAATTGATATTTTGCAAATTTCCTTCCAAAATTATTACGGTACGAAAGCCTTCAGATACAAAGAATTTTTAATTTTTTTTGCACGTAATTCCAACACCATCCGTCAATGGCGGCCATTTTGATTCGGCCCTATTTGGACGTAACGTAAGTGTCATTGATGACAACTCTATTCAACTCTAACTTCACTGATTAATGATTAACAAAATGTAACTGTCATCAACAGGCTGACACTGCATCGACTTATTTGGGTAAAAGTGGAGAATATTTAGATATTAGATATTAGAAAACTGCAACTTGCAATATGTCCAAAAACCAACTACAACAAATCGTTTTGTTCAAATTTATTAAATAAATCACCGCTATATTTACATGGCAAACTTAAGACTACCTTACAGGCTACACTAATTAAGGAGCTTATTGAACAGTACAACAGCCGCAGTGCTGACACCACGCGACAGGCTGTCGTACCAGATAGTGCATTTACATAGTGCTGAAGGATGTGCAAAAGCACCTCTGGCACGGAGCCGGAGGCGCTACAGCGACATCTAGAGGGGCTTTCAGGCGCTACTTTCTATCCCCCACATGGAAAGCACGCAAACATAACCTAGAACCAAGAGCATTTGCCGTCGAAAGCAGACAAAAAACACTCCGAACAAGGGAGATGGTAGTGGGAGATCTAAATCGCTTCACTGTTAGCTGACTGGACAGAAGAGCCTAGAAGCCGAATCCATGCAAAAAACCATTGAATGTGATTAGATAATGCACCTGCGACGAGCCGCCCCTGGATAGAAATTTAAGGGTGATAACAATAGCGACGGCCTTAAGGGATTTGAAAGCCATTGCGTAAGCTAATGACATTTTAAAAATACACTTTTGGTCGCATTCCAACGCAAAAAAGTGTGCCATTGCTTCAAAACATTCGCGATCGCGACAGTTTTACATAACCCGTACGCTTTTGAACTCGTGCAGGGGCATCATCAATCAATATCACACATCAACACACTAAACTACTATTATCACACGTCAATAAAGCCAACAACAAATGAGGAAAAAAAGCACACACACTCGACTGCCCGCCCCGGCCTACTTGGAGATGGGGATGATCGCAGTAGGCCAGAGCAGGACTGACTCACTGAGCGCAATAGTCAAAGTGGCTGGGCGGACATGATGAGAACAGCTGGGCATCGCGATGTCCTAAAATTAACACGGCTAGCGTTGCATAGGAGTATTATGCAAAACGGTTGGACGGCCGTGCCAAGAATTCGTTCGTTTCGATGTTGTCGCTACACTTTTGCTTCAAACACGCCACTAAGCGAATCTTTTTGAACTCATTGAAAACTCGCCATCTATTAAACCGAAAAACTCAGCAGTTGTCCCCCAACAAAAAATCAAATAGAATACTCCGGGTGGTTTGAGGTGAAATTCCAGCTTCCAATCGACCCTCGTAGCAAAACTGGCCGAACTGCGCAGAGTCAAAGTCCGTTCGACCGCCTTCGGCGCTGTGCCCACGAGCGAGAGCCACCAGCTCAAACAGCCCGTCCTTGTCGCACATGCTTCATATACCAGAACGAATCCGAAACTTCGCCGAATCAAATCAGGTGAGCCTACCAGAGGGCAAGGACGGAAGAAATTGAAAGAAAAGCGACAACATGGCCAGCCGAAAAGCACTGCCAACTGGTATCACATGCCCAGATGCACTTTTCAAAAGCTCTTATAATTAGAAATTATTTGGATCAGCCGCTGGTCGTTACGCAACCCGAATGGCCAAGGCCCGCCAGGATGTCAAGAATTCCTACACAACCTTCAGTCCTATTTAAATACACTCAATAAGCTCCTTAAAATGTAGCGCGATGCTTACCATCCGAGTTCATCTCGACGATCCCTGATGATGCGGCAATGAGAAGAAACTGAGATACCACCAGCTGTGTTCACGGTTGCACTCAGTCAGTAAACACAGGGTGGTCCCCAATCCCGTCCCATTTTACTCTCCAGCAACATTCCGGACTTAAAAAACGGCAAAATAAACACTTACAGTCGGCTGGATGGTTCCAACGAGGCTTCGTCGCCCTCTATCCTGTACACTTTGCCGGACATCACGTACTCGAAACTGTCCGCTCTGGAGCCTTCGGTATCCAGTCCTTGCGGGTTCCAATCGCCACTGTCCGGGTAGCCGTCTTCCCTTAGAGTGGTCGCCAGAACCAGTCGAAACTTGTCACCTAAAACCAAGAGATTTTCATTAGTGGCGCATTCACCATTTCGTCTACAAGCGAATATAGGATTTTTCGCCTTTGGCAAGACAAGGCCTATAAATGGGCAACTTGGAAATGAGATGCAAAAACCATTCGAATATATACATATATATATATAAACAAAGAAAATCGCAAAGTCGTCCGATTGTTAGCCGAACACGAACAAATGCAAGCGTATCGCCGCTTTGACGTCACAGCAATTATTTATGAATCAAGTTCAAGGTTGCGCCCGTAACGCGCTGTTGCTCATATTTAGCATTCGGCCAATGCGGAATTCAGCCAACTATGATATTACGAAATTTTGCTACCCGAGCGGTACCAATTATTGTTATATTTAATTTTTTTGATTCAACCAATGTTTCCCAATTATGGGTTTGTTTTGAATTTTAATCTGATGATGGCGCTGTTGTCTCGCCGAAACGTAATATGAAATTAAGTATGGGAACATTTTGACTGAAACCCCGGAAAGAAAAAAATATTAAATAAGTAATAATGATTTTGGGTAAAAACCGGTAAATGTGTCAACGTGGTTACTACAGCTAATTTACGTCACAAGTCAGAGAGGAATCGGGAGGGATCGTCTGGCAACACCTGGCGCCATTATCCTCAAAAAACACTCACTGAACAGTCAACCTTGTGGGCAAACAGCTGCTCCAGTGACGCCAACCACAAGTCTAAAGAAAAGATCCTTGCTAATGGAAATTGGTCCTGGACCCGATGGTGCTCACCAACTTAGCCCAAGTGCTAAATCGCATAAACAGCACTTCGAATTAGAAGAAAAAACATCTTCCTCTAATCGATCGCCTTGGCCGCGCTCAGCTGAGCGTTCAATCGAAGCGCGTGCTCATGCGCCCACCCTCCCCTAACCTGCCTCAAAAGCCGCCCCGGATAACCTTGCTGCGAAGGACTGCGAAAAAAGCCTCTTTCCGAACTCACTGGAACATTGAAAACCGCCTCAATTCCGTCTCATTGTGATTGGTCGATTTAGTTGAATGGCGCCAGCCGTTTGTTTCCAAGGCTCGGGTCGACTGGCAATGAACTCTACCTAGCGATAATTAACCGAAGAGTCTAATTAGTTGCTATTTTGCAATTGATTGCTTTGGCTGAGAACCGTCTGGGGAATTAATCGGCAAACCAACCGGAACAAATTGCCTATTCTTCTTCTGGACCAAAGACCGACAATTAAGTGAACAAGCCGTGTCAGGAAACATTTGAAGACCAACTTTTTTCAATCACAATTGCCCCCTGTATTCACGCTGCGTACCAATAGTCGCTTGAAAACGCTTTTCTCTGAAGATGTAGTCCACCGGTGCTTGTGAAACGTCACGCAGAAATTGTTCCCATCCCGAAAAACGCACCCCTTCAATCAGTTGGTGAAAACATCTTTTTGCCTCGCTCTGGTATATCGAAAACGTGCGACAAGAACAGACTGCAATGGCTGGTGGCTCTCGCTCGGCAGCATACACTCGCCACAGTACAAGTGGGGCGGCTGTGCTACGAGGGTCGATGAAGAAGGTCAGCTATGCAGTTGGGAGACAAAATTTGGCGACCAATGCGTGAGCCTGACGAGTTTTCCGGGACTGCACTGCACAAGCAAATCTTAATCGACCCTCCTAGTACATCTGAAGACGGCTCTCAAGTAAACATTTGCGAAACGTCGGAAATACATATTCTATTCCAGCATGGTCTGCAAGCCCGAAAGATTCATCGGCTTCACGCAATGGCCGCGAAAGCATTTCTTGCTTGAGTTTATGGTAATGGTCTAGGAAATGCGGCGCTCTTAACCTTTCATGAGCCTGCCTGAGGTTACGAGGTTCGATATAATCGATACCATTCCAAACATGGCTGCTGCAGAACGAAAAATATTTAAGAATGGCCGAGTGTCCCAAAAAAAAGTCGTTGCGTATGAATAGCGCATCTGAATAACTCTTACTATCTCTGCCAAAACTTCGCGTTTCGAAGGAGAAGCGGTTTTGCATTATTGGAAAAAAGCAGTGCACCAATCACCAAGATAACAGAAAATGACCAAAACAAGCCCAAATACCCACAAAACGTGCCTACGAAATAATCGAGTAAAAACGAATGGGAGACTCTGACAAGTTAATGATTGAAATCGACCCTCGTAGAACAGCTGGCCCACTCGTATTGAACCGAGGGCGATTCGGCCGTCTTCGCTCGTCTCTCAACCTGTCCTTGTTGCACAATCCCAACATACCAGAGCGAGACAAAAAGAAGTATTTTCACTAATACAGTGACAGAAAGGCCATTGCGCGCCGCCTATGACATTGCCCCAGTCCCCAACAAACAAACCATCCATCAAGTCGTCCATATTGAGCTGAGTTGGGGCGCAGGCCCGAACCCTCAAGTTCAATGCCAAGGCTGGGCTGGTGTCGAGGCGCAGTCGCCAGCCAATGCAGGCCTTCCTGCAACTGGCGGCCGAAAAATGACGCGGAAATTTGCAAACTGGCCACCAAACGCACAACAAACACGGATTGATTGAAAAAAAATCACTCACCCAACTCCATGGGATACAGCCACGAGTTTATATCCAAAATCAGGTCCATTTTGAATGATTCACTCTCGCAATGCAGCCGGCTCACTGAAACAGAAAAAAACCGGAGTTAATCTTGTTGCTTCCGAGGGAAACGAAGCTGAATTGCGCTGCGCATGCAGCTGAATTATCGCGATCTGGGCATTAGGCCACGTGTTTTACCCAGTTTTGGCTGATGCAATGCCCAATAACGCTTAGGAAAACTGCGATGTTGCTTAATTGAATATCGCACTCCTTGAACACCCCCGGTAATTCACTGGTTGGGTTCGCAGCAACACCGAGTGTGTGAAGTGTGAGAGCAACAAACAATCGCCATGGCAACCGAGTTATTCTGGCCAGCCCGGCTGATATACCAGGGCCGACGGTTAAGGTGAATGAATGGAAGCCTTGGCTATTGGGATTTTAATGACTGCAGCACAGCCGGCAGCGATTCTTTTGTCTTCTTTGCCCAAACACCGCCAACTTGTTACTTAACATCGTGCGGGTTACGGCGGTACCGAGGCCGCCCGGTTTTTCGGCGACTGCCGGCCAAGTAGGATAATCAGTTAAATAATTTGAAAATTGCCCGCATTCCCCGCTTGAATGAAACGATCAGCGAACATCGCTGCCTTTTCCCGATTTTAGATTCGATCGACGTTAATTTGTTAATTTCCCGGGTTTGGGGATTGACGTCATGCGAAATTCTTTCGGCGTTCCGAGTGTGGCAAACGCTGGAAGTGAACTTGAGGACGAGGCGCCGTTTTGCCACTGGCGCCCACCCAGCGTCGTGACGCTCTTGACATTGAACTTCCAGGCGGTGTTTTAGTCCCTTTGGCCACTCGATGACGCAAAATCGCACCCAGAATGAGAGAAAAACGCCGAAAACAATCCGGCAATTTTGCAAATCAATTGCGGACGGTTTGCGTCAGCCCCAGCCGCCTGGGAGAAACCAGCAAGTGATGGCATTTGTTTTGGATGTTGCCGATCGAAACACGTCACTTAGTTCCTAGAAAACGGCGCCATTTTTAAAACTCACCCGCGACAGATTTGCAAAACGACGCAATTCAATCGGCCGATCTCGCCATAGGCTTGGGGCAAATTCCCTTCGGATTGGGCCACCATTTTGGAAAAAACCGCACCATTCGAAATCGCGTTAGCAACAAAACAAAGCGCCATAGGCAGGAGCCCCGTGATCCGGCCGCGTGTAAACAAATGAATACAGCACTCACCTTGACAAGATCAAGTTCACCAACGACGCAGCAAGCCGGGGAGGACCAGCTGTTTTTCGCCCGTTTTCCCCATTCCTCTTCAAAGCGGCCCAAATGGATGCTGCCGCATTTTTGCCCGACTCGCGACTGGCGCCGCGTCCATTTTCTTGCACTTGGGAGATAACGGCGACAGAAAAAACACACGACGATCTCAGATTGCCGAGCGAAAACAAAACACGGTCGAACTTGGACCCAAAACAAATGAAAGGACGGCGACGGCGTCGATTGGCGCTGGGCAGGTTGATTTGCCGGGGGGAGCCGGGGGGGACGATTTTGCGGGCGGGCGCGCGCGGGGGGAAACTCGGAATGCGCAATTTCCCCACTATGGGCGAAGCCGAAATCCATATATTTAGGCATCGATGTTGCGCAATATTTTGATGAGAAATCTCCTATGAAGATTAGATTTTTTCGCACCACCAATAAAGGCATTAAAAATCCCGCGCAAACCGACGATTATTTAGGAAAAAACCTGAAACATGTCCATCATTCCATTCGCAGCAGGCCTTCTAGAGAGTGAAGAACCAGCAACTAAGACCTGTTTCTAAAGGTGCCGTAATCGACATCGACCTTAAACTGGTAAACCAGTGAACGACCCAAATACGCGCTTCCTTGTTCACATTCAAGGCCCCCTCCAGTGAGCACATGGAGATTTTTGGAACCGGTCGAAACCATCCATTTCCTAGATTGCCATGAACCACACAGGCCTTTGCGCGACAATGGAAAAGCCCCACAGCGTCCATATGCTGATGACAACAAGGCAGAGCTGACCTAGACCTCGTGACCTTAACCGCACGGGGGCGCTGATAGAGCTCAGCTCAATCGATCAGAACGCCCCCCCACGCAATAGCCTGGGGGCGACGATCCACCCCCTTCGGTTGATAGGGGCGTAACGGCACTCAAATCATTTCAATCAACTCGCTCAAATTCGACCAAGTTGATGGATTTTGCGATTTGCTTGATTGGGGACCTGAGAGAATGGGGCGTGGCCCAGTGCCCTTGAACTTGGCGCGTGGAACAGGGAGACGATACCTGCAAGCCGGTTGAATTATGCATGAGACTGGGACTTTCTAAACTACCTATAATGGCGTGTGCAACTGCCCTAATTAATCAAAAATGGGGCCCTTTAGCTTCTAGGGCTTCAAAAACTATTCAGCGGCCAAAATCTAACAGTAACCAGGAAAAACATCCATACGACCGGAATCACTTTGAGGAAAGTACGCGCTCCTAAGCCCCCCAGAAACGAAATTAACTCACTGGCAATGTTGTCGGAAATCTACTGCCCCCGTAGACCCACAAAAGTCCATGCTCTGGGCAAAAACAACCCCCCGAGGGACGGCCCAAAACAACGTGTTCTAACCTCACAAAGTGAACTACGCAGATGTGCGCCCCCCAATCGATACCAGCCAACTTACCACGGTCAAACTTCTTGCCTTCCGGGTCGATGTCTTTCACGTTGAAAATGTCCTCAAATAATACACCTGCCATCGCGAAAAAACAGTACAAACGCCCGTAAAACAAAAATTTTCACCGGGCTCTAATTAAGCGCCATATAAACGACAAATCGACGTTCACTTCATTGATGTCAAATGTCAAAGGAATCCACTTGAAAACTGCCGCTAGGCGGCGCTCCTGCTAGTATAGCAGGAAACATCACCAGCAATAAATAATAATAAATACATTAAACACATGATAAAATACCCATAGAGTAAGTAAAATTTTACATTCTCTATGAAAATACCTACTCATATATATGACTGTTAGAGACTAGCTTTCTTCTGAATTTTCCCTCAAAGTACTTAACTGTCACTCGTTATCCTGCATATTTGGTGACGTCTCGCAGCGCCCTCATCGCTCTATCAGTTGACTTGTCAAACTCAGTCCTGTCACTTTAAATGTTAAACTTCTTCCCCTATTTGTAAACAAAACAAGTTCGTCATTGTTTGGGTGTATAAGAGTGGGCCTTGCGATGGCAGCTCTACCGCCCAGACGCAACCCTACCCCCACGAAAATCTCTAAACAGAATCTCACCCCATTGCAGATCCTGCTGCAAATGGGGGTGCCGAAACATAGGGCGTAAGCGGACAAAGTTGTATTTCGACCCTTGTGCAGGGGCTGGTTTGCAGGGAAAAGGCCCTGGCCGCTACAGGGAACCGCGGAGTGCAGCTGGCCTCCGACTGGCTGTTGGCCCATGTAAACGACCCTTTATTAGATGACAATTCGCCCAGGGAGTACATCCTATACGCCTGCCCTACTGGGCCCTTTCTGGAACAACTGCAGGCCTTCTGGTCGAAGTCGTTTAGTTTGTGCGGCTGGAATGGGGCCCATAACTTCACGCCCCATATAACTTTGGTGTCGTTCTTCAAGGTGGGGGGTGGTAGATGGTGGTCGGAATGCGCGCTAAGGAATGTTTTTGTAGGCTCCAGATCAGGACTCCACGCACTTGGCTCTGAGTCTTAAGACTGTGATGGACCGGCAGGGGGCTGTTTTGAACGAGTCGCTGAAGCTCGAGAGTTACACGTCGCCGAACTTCATGGGTTTCTTCGTGACTGAGGAACATGCCGACTACCTCAAGCGAATTGCCATGCAGTATGTGAAAGAGGTGTCCAATGCGAGTAAGTGTCAACTTTGCCCGCTCCTACTGGTTGACCTCTTGATGGATTTCAGTTATTAGCGATACCTACGAGCAGTTCGACGCCCTCACGGCCTGTTTTCCTTGGTGCACAACCACAACAGCCCGCTGCATCCCGAGAGGAAGTCGATGTAAGAGCGCCAGTGTTGCCCGAGTGATTTGCTGTTGCAGTTAATTTGTTCCTTTTGCCTGGCTTGTGTTTGTTGCTGTTGTTTGGTACTTAAAGTCGCTGGCTTGCTTTGTTGCAATCGGTCTTCGTTTTGCAGCCATCAGTCTGGAACCGCACGTGAAATCGCTCCATCTCACCCTGGCCTATCAGTTTCCCAACGCGCAGTACCAGCACCTCAAGGCGCTCGTTGATCAACTAGACTGCGCCATGCCCAGCAATTGGGAGCTGCGCCTCTATTCCAGGGACCCGAGACTCAACGGGAAGCAAGTTCACAAGGTGCAGCTGTGATTCGTTGCTGCATTTGCTTGATTATGCGTGTTTGTTTGCTCCAGGTGATTCACCCCTATTCCCCCACAGAGTGCGACGAGCTGGAGCTACGCGCTGGGGACTATTTGTACATTGGGAGCGAAGCTCTGGGCAGCTCCATGGACGGCTGGGTTGAGGGAGTTTCTTGGCTCACGGGACTTTCCGGTCTACTGCCCGAAAGGTGAGAGCAATCTAGTGACTCTCTAAGCTTGGGGACTGGGGAGTATCAATACGAGCCGGTGATTAATGCAAGATAAAAAATATTCCGCTTATCCGAAAGGGACATTTGAAGGTGGCGAAGCGTGCAAAACAAGCCCGTTATCAGTCGAAGTCAATGGCCTGCGAAAGATATGGATTTATTCTAATCGGCATGACTTTCAGTTATACGGAGCGCACGGCCGAGTCCGACGCCTGGACGCTGCATAAGAAAATCTCCATCAACAGTGTGACGCCCGATCCAGAGCCCAAACTGGCCGAGTTGAAATCAGGTGGTGTAAATTGGGCCAATAAGGCAGGGACAATCGTAAAAGTGGAGCGTTTTAGGGGCGTCGACCACGTCCACCTCCAGCAACGAGCACTCCGTGTTGAACAACGAGGAGGTGAAAATGCCGCCACCACCCGGTATCCCAGAGGTCGAACGCAACGTCGCCAAGGAAAATTTTTACGAGAACCTCATTGATATCCGCAGACAGGAGAACAAAGACGTAAGTTAACATGTCGCATAATCAAAGGGGCACCGCTGGATAAACCTTGTCCAGTTGGTTGCTCATCACTTGAGACCTAAATCCCAATCAAACATAACATAACATAGTAATAAGAGTTATTTTTCGCGATGTCAGTCGCCCTTAGAGGAAAGCCCCAGTCGCAGGGTGTTCATAATGCGCCATGGTGAGCGGATTGACTTCACTTTTGGCAGTTGGGTGCCTTATTGCTTCGACGAATCGGGAACATACGCGCGCAAAGACCTGAACATGCCCAAAACCCTTCCGGAAAGAAAAGGTATTTTCCAGTTTTTCGCGAGGAAAAGTCACACGGATTGGCTTGTTTACTCAAGGAGGAGCTGCCGCCTATCTCACCGACTCCCCCTTGACCAACATCGGGCTGTTCGAGGCGAAACTAGTGGGAGAAGCGCTGAGGGACCAGAACGTCACCATAGAAGAGGTGTACTGTTCTCCCTCCTATCGCTGCATCCAGACCTGCGACTCGGTTCTAAAGGGCTTGAATAGGTAGGGCCACTGTTGCCTAACGGCAGGTTGATACTTCCCTGCTTAATATTCCAGAAACGAAGACCTGGCCATCAAGGTGGAGCCCGGCCTGTTCGAATGGATGGCTTGGTATCCAGCGGAGCACGTGCCAGACTGGATGACGCCCAGTGAACTGTCCAGAGCCGGGTTTAACATCGACGAGCACTACGTGCCAGTGGTGTCCGAGAAGGAGCTGAAAGACAACCGGGAAAACTGCGAGCAGTTCTATCTGCGAAGTGCCTTTGTTACTCGAAGTACTGCCGTAGCTCGGTTAGATTGGATGTTATAAAAATGCCGATGCTCATTGCAGGTTCTTTAGCAGCCGCCCCAAAGGGCAACTTGTTATTGGTGGGACACACCGCCACCCTGGACACCTGCTCGCGAGAACTGGTAGGCAAGGGGGCGCGCTCGGGCAGCGAGCTAGTGAAAATCATCCAGAAAATCCCGTATTGCTCGCTGATCGAAGTGACGGGCGTCGGTGAGAGCTGGAGCATAGTGGAACCGCCCTGTCTACCTCTCACGCACTCCACCAATCAGCGCTTTGACTGGAAAGTCCTGCTCCAATAGGCGGTCAGCACCAGACTTTTCAATTCTATTTGGTTCGCATTCGCCACTGCATCAGGGTAAATTGCGCACATTTTTTCCGGTAGCAGTGGAGCCGTCGCGGTATCTAAGAACGAGGGCGCGCTTGTACAATAGCGATAGGAACAATCGGGTTGTTTGATTAAATTAATTTAGAGAACCAATAGGGGTATTAAGACAGATGAGGGCGATGGAAACCTACGCCATACAAAAACAAACTTTTGTACAAACCGCTCTTCTTTTACTTGATTGAATATCGCTGTTTAAAGTAGGCGATTGCAAAAGCAGTCCGATTATTCCCGTCGCTAGCGGAAACTTTCAGCCCGATCTTTATTCCAGTCGCCAGATGAAAGCGTTATTGGCACTGATACACACCCTCCTTTAAAGTAACGTTGTTTAATCGAACGAATGTGTTCATAAAAGGCATCTTCTTTTCCAATAAAAATTCCTATGACGACAGTGGCTTTTCCCGTCCTAGCAGTGGCCCCCTTCTTTGAGTTTTCCTATCAGGGTGTCCACATCGGGGACGATTTGCCCTGCTTGCCTCGTCGGAGGGTCTTCAACGCTCACCACTTTGATACGGGGCGTCACGTCTACCCCCAGATCTTTCGGTGTGAGTTTTTGGATCGGCTTCTTCTTGGCTTTCTGCACGAATCAGACCATTAGATGCAGGTTTTGGTGTGAAATGGCGCCAGCTCATGCGTGGGTTAGTTTCTGGAGGTTTTTATCGGGATTTCGGGACGTTTTGGCACTGGGATTCAAGCATTCGATGGAAATTGCGCGCGATTTTTCGCTCGGCCCCCAAAATAGCAAAAGGTCGCTTACCATGATGTTCGGGAGGGTGGCATATCGGGGCTCGTTCAGTCTCAAATCGGCGCTTATCACAGCTGGCAGTTTGCTCTTGATCACCTCCAAACCTCCATCCACCTCCCTGGTTACCGTGATTTCATTGTCGCCCTTCTCCACCTGGAAATGGCAGGTGTTAGCCAAAAATTGGCTTTTTGGGCTCCTTTTACCTTTGAGGCGAAAGTGGCCTGGGACCAATCCAGCACGCCGGCAGTCATTTGAGCCGTCTGGTTACAGTCATCATCTATTGCCTAGAAAGTACAAATTCTAACATTAACCGACCACTGCATTTTCTCCAATCATTTGAATAAACAAGCTACAACAGCACAAAATAAAGCGCTATTTGATTTTAGGCCGTCCACAAACCTGCTTTCCCACTATAACAATGTCTATTTTCTCGTTCTGGGCAATTTTAGCCAGAATCTTCGAGACGTGGATGGGCTGTAGGGTTTCGTACTCCGGGCCTGTAACCTCCACATGAATGCCCTTGTCCACACCCATAGCCAAGGCAGTCCTACCACCCATAGAGCTCCATTAGTTAACCAACCCGAAAAGAACGAGGGCTTTCCTCACCTCAAAACTTCCTGCGATTGGGCAGGCCCGCATGACACAGCGATGATTTCCGAGGCGATTTTCTTCTCCTTTAGCTTAACTGCCTCCTCCACCGCGATCTCATCGAAGGGGTTCATTGAGTGTTTGACCCCATCGGTTACAACGCCTGATTTGTCTGGCTTGACTCTGATCTGTACGAGTTTTGGGACTGCAAATGGGGGCCACTTTTCCTAGCTGTTTCACTTACTTTGACTGCATAGTCGATCACTCTTTTAACGCCAACCAGAACTCGGGCCATTTTATCTGGATCACTGAAGATTGGAAGACTTTGTAACGAGAATGATCTCTTGGACTTATAATAGTATGTAGTCTGTGGACTTTGCACTGTAATTGTGAAATTTGAACGAAAACTGAAAACAAATTGACATTAACTAGTAAACAAACGAGACCTTAACCTCAATGGCCATGAAACCGGCGTTGCCGTTTGCGCTTTCGCGCAACAGAAATTTAAAATAGAGAGAGAGCGCAATATAAAATCGGCAGTGAATAATTTAAATCCAAATGGTCGATCAGAAATCTTCGGTGTGTAGCTACCAGCAACAGCTTTGGATCACTTTCTACAGAAGAAAATCCTAAGGCAAAAAATACAAGGTTTATTATTGTATTATGAGTAAATAATATATACAGGGAAAGTGGATTACTCAGGTTCGCACACTGGATACGGCCTGCATTTGAGACAGCGTGGCCTCGCCTTGTTCCCGCGGAGGACTCTGCACTTGTATGCGGCTCTTGAGCACGGCAGCCCTCAGAACCAGCATGCGCGCCCGCCTAAATTGTTCCTTGCCCACAGCGAGCCCCCGTGCGAACGTCGCTCCTCTCTGGTCGGCGTTCCTCGCATACAGCACCTGAAATCGCACAAAACAAGTCCCAAACTGGTCAAGAAAACCGTCGTTTTTACCTTATTGTGCGAGTCAATTCGCGCTTGAATCTGGCCGTCCAAAATTAAGCGCATCAACTCGTCTTCTAGCGCTGGTACTGTGCGGTTAAACGCTTGGGCCATGCGGCGCAAATCCGCCGACATGTATGGACTTAACAAAAAAAATTAAAATGCATTCGGAAATAGCTCAGTCTAGTACTGCTTACCTAAAATATTGAACCAGGGCGCGGCTACGTATCTGGGCATACAAGGCAGGTACGTACGGGGCCAAATACAGGTCTAGCAGAAGAGCGTCCTTCATTTCATCAAGGAGTTTCAGGCAGGCAGCGTAGCGAGATTCGTAGAACTTTAAGATAGCGTCGCGTAAAGCAGGTTCCAACTCCAGAAATGGCTTGAAACCTGCAGGAAAACAATCAGCAGGGGGTTCCCTTGGTGTAGTGCGAGAACTCACTTCCATTGTTGACTACGTGCTTCTGCAGTTCTGGTCGGTCGAACGTGGCCAAAGCGCACAGACCTCCATACGTGGCCACATTGCCAGGGGACAGCATGTCGGGAAAATCGCAATGATCCAAACTAGCCTAGAACATACCATATGTAACATAAATACTGCAAAGTCAATTTAATCGTTTCAAGTCCGCGGCATACCTGCAGGAAATGCTTGGCAGCTTGCTTGAACTTTCTAGTGGAGAGCTCGGCTAAACCAGCGGCGCATCTGAGCTTAGTGAAAATCACTGGGTTGTTTTCTTTCGCTTGGGCCTCGGAAAAATCTGTAATAACACTGCAATTAAAACGGATTGAGGCATAATGTCGACCCCTACCCGGAGTCCCCTCAGCTTTGGCCACGTAGCTGAGAACATGCGACCAGTTCTGCAGGTAGATCGATACTTTTATCACATTCAGGCACATGTTAACCACATGTTTGCCGCTCGTGCAATAGTCTCGAGCTCTTGAGTAGCATTTCAGGGCATTGGAGAGATCCCCGCTGTTCAAATAGTGGTCGCCTAAGTCATCGTGGCCCCTAAAAGGCACCCGGTATTAATAATTAAAGCAGGTACAATGACGCCTCAATTACTGTGCGCTGCATGTTTAGAACCGTTGAGTTTTAACCAACCTGCGGATACTCTCCTTGATCGAGTTGCTTCTGTAGTTCTTCAAATCATTGTCCAGTTTCTCCAGCTTCAAAGCAGACTTCTTCAGCATAGTCTCGATCCACAGATTGTCCACCGCTGGGATTCCTTGCCACGGGGATGGAGCTGCCACGTCCGGCACATTTGCATTGGTGTTCTGATCGGCCAGTCTCTGATGGAGGACCTGCCAAATACATTTCAGTGCCGAATTGTCCATTTTCAAGACCGCTAACCTGATACAAGTTCACGTTGTACGTGTTCATTACGTAGGCAATGGCAATTTTTAGGGCTTCCAGCCGCAAAGACGGGCAATGATCCACAATGAAAATGAGCCGRTAAAGCTTGGCTAAGCCGGTGTAGCTGTTGGCGTACGCCTCCAAATCGATAGAGGGGTTCTCTACCACGAAGAAGGTGTCTTCATTGTTGTCGTTRTCTTCAGGKGGCGCGTCCACTTGCATGGGCTCCACGGCATTCTGGAAAAATACGTTTGGGACATCAAAACAATTTGAAGAGTAACAAGCCACTATCCACTTACTTGGGCCATGGCCATAAACTGAAGGGGCATTTCATATAAGTCTTCGTCGGGATGTTCTTCGAGCTCTTTCCCCTGACAAATGTTTTCAGGCAAATGACAGCTTTGACACGCTCACAGAACATCCCCCTGTTGGGGGATGTTCTGTGGGCCCCTAACCTCGTATAAATAGTAGCGTTGTGTTTTCCACGGTAGAGACGGAGAAAGAAAATGCAGACCATATGAAAATGCGCGGGATTTATTTAAAATTCATCCCATTTTTTTCGGGTTTGAGGATAACGAGTGTTTTAGCACTTTACCGCCGGCAACAATTTCTGA